ATGGTGACAATGCACTCGTTCGAGATTCAATTTCTTATTCGAGTTCAACCAGCTATTACCTCGATCTTAACGTAAAATGTAGGATGACTTCATCTATTCAGGCAATCGAATCCTCTTCACATCACATTTCTACCGAAGTCAATATTGATGGAGATCCCAAAGTTGCAAGGGTTAGCTTAGCAGATGACGTTACTTATTTAGAAAAGGATTTCGTATTGGTTATTAAAAGCCAAGATCTTGATGTGCCAAGGTATAAAACATGAATTTATTCTTTTGGGTAATATATATTAACTTTAACAACGTTTATATAGGGCATTCGTTGAATATAACCCAGCAACCGAAACCAATTGTGTTATGCTTACCTTGGTGCCCAAATTTGCGCTTAGTGAAGTCTTAGTAGAATTAATATTTATTATAGATAGGTAAGAATACTTCAGAAATTATATTTGCAGCATGGTTTAAATTAACATATGATAAAAGGCTTGCCTGATTATAATTTAAGATCAGGGTCAATGAAAGGCGAACCTATTCAAAAAGCGGTCCGAACTCTTCAACTGTTACTCCATTCTCTTCCAGAAGGCTGTTATTTTAATGTGGTATCATTTGGCTCTGATCACGATTCACTATTCCCACAAAGTCAACTTTATTCCGAAGCCACTCTTACTCAGGCTCTCGATCATGCTAAAACTATGAGCGCCAATTACGGCGGTACGGAAATCTATAATCCATTAAAATGGGCATTCGACAATTCTAGATTCGACATGCAAACATCTGTTTTCCTCCTTACTGACGGTGAAGTTTGGAATGTCGAGGCATTGGTGGAACTTGTTCGCACTAATGTTGAACAGAAGAAGGATAACCTTAGATTGTTTTCTATTGGAATTGGTGATTCTGTATCTCATAATCTTGTCGAATCTGTTGCACGTGCCGGAAAGGGTTATACACAGCATGTAACCACTAGTGAACGCATGGATAAGAAAATTATAGGTATGCTAAAGAATTCCATCAGACCACCAGTTAAGGATTATAAGATTATCTGGGCAGAAAATGAATCTGAATATGAAGATCTTGATAATGAGGAGGCCGAGACGAAACCAACAATCAGCATCTTCAACAAAAATCCTAACCCTCCTCCACAAGAATCTTTAGTCGTTGCAAATGTCAAAACCAAACAAGCACCATTTATCATTCCACCGATTTATTCTGGAGTTAGATTTGTTGTTTATTGTATGCTAGGAAATGGTGTTATTCCAAATAAGGAGATCATATTAACCGCACAATCTTCAGACGGACCCATAAAACTCACCGTTCTTTTAGATCCAGTAATATTACAAGGGTCAAAAATTCATACACTTGCCGCCAGGAAACTTATTCAGGATCTTGAGGACGGCACCTCCTTTATTCACAAGCATCCAAAGAACAAAGGCAAGCCAATCCCGGCTTCAGTTATAGAGGAACAAATTGTCTATCTGGGAAAAAAATTTAATTTGGCATCGAAACACACGAGGTAATCACCTATTACAGTACTGTAGTTGGATTGCGCTACTAATAAATTAATTAGAAATTTGCGACTTATTTCGACAATACCACACCTAGTTTTCTTGCAATTGATGAAGTTAATGATCAATCAGTTGAAAATTTGATTCGTCTTGATAGGAGAAAAGTTCCTATACAGTTGCCTTCTGGTTTCGGAGGCCTGCCTACAGGAGCATCGACTCGTAAATATCGCATAATTCCTTGAATTTCTTGTTATATATTTAACAAATAAATGGGAAATTTCCTAATTGGTTCGATTTTTATTAGATTATCGAAAGAGAAAAAAAAGAGCTGGCGTGTCACCAGCATCAGCATCTCTTAGATCGGCTCCTACTCGTAAATCGGCTCCTGTTTTATTAAAAAAAACAAGAAGTAGTCGAACTATTCAAGAAACTTCAAGAATAGCAAATGATTACAGACCCAAACTAAATTTTAAAGAATCGAAAATCGAAGTATTAGACGAGTTTGTTAAATTTCAATCATTTGACGGTAAATTCAGCCCTACCGCGCATTTTTATTCGTGCTTCGATAGGGAAGGCAAAGACTTCAAAGAAATTGATATCGACAACGAAGATATTTTATGCACTGCATTAGCAATAGAATATTTGGAGGTAGTGATGTTTGGGCAATTTAAGGATGAGTGTGAGATGTGTTGGGAAAAGGCTAATAAAGCACTGAAAAAATTAGTTGATGAAAGTGAGTTTGACGACGTTTTGAAGAAAACTAGAGATTGGATTTTAAATTGGGTAGGAACACATTGACACACGCGTGCGATATATGTATGTAGCTGTATTATTTTGCTTATACTGTAAGTGAACTTATTCCATATGATATGTATGGATTGGTTTTTAAATATTAACCAAAAATAAAATTGTTGATGTTTTATTAGATTCAAGTACCATTCGAATGCCTTTTTTTTCTTCTATGTTGCAATTGCTTTTATGATTGTAATCCATCGCTATTCATATATAGGAATATTGATTAAATTATAGCTTGACTTGCGTGAAAAAATTTTGTTATTATTATTTACTGTATTTGTCCAGAGTACTGTACAGTAATGTATAACGAAGGACAATGAACAATGAAAAAAATTTTTACCACGTGATATAGTTGTCTACAGTAACCAATAAAAATTTTAATCCAAACAAAATGATTTTTTTCACCGTTAATTCTTTATTTACAGTATAAATCAATAATTTATTACAGTATTTTAATAATGTAATTTTTTTAAATGTACTTATCAAATATTAATAATAATAATAATATACAGTACATATATAATACGTTTATTGTACAAATCTTAATAATGTTTTCATCGATTTTATATTCAATGTTTGAAATGTTAAAAAACATTAAAAAATTTAAATTGTTAATATTAATAAAAAAAAATTTTATAAAAAATTTTTAAAGTTAAAAAATATATACAGTATATAATTTTCTTTAGACATGAAATAATACTTTTTATTTTAATTAACAATTTTCATTAATTTTTTAACCAGTGATATGAAACTTGCTAAAAAAAGTTTTAAAAAATAAGTCGAAAAATTAAATGACAATCTATTCATTATAATAAACTTATTGTTTAGGTATTTAAAAATATATTTGCAATGCTTTATACAATATAAATATTTAATTGTCAAAATATAATTAAAAACAATTTTTAAAAAACAAATTGCAATTAAAAAACGACCAATTAAAAAATTAATTATAATCAACTTACGTATTTTCAAAATGTTAAAAAAATGTTTTATAAAAATTTATACAAATTTATCAGCCAATAACTTTCAAAAAAAAATAATTTATGGGAAAAGAAATATCTATTAATTATTTAATAAAGATATATTTATTGTTTTTTATAAACATATTTTAATTTTTCAATAATATATTATAACCATTTCATATTGTTGGATAATTTTTTAATAGGAGTATTGATTAAGTAAATTAATTTTAAAAAACATGATATTTTATATATTTAAAAAATTTCAGTATATTCATAATTCGAGATGCTTAAATAAAATATATTATATGCTATCTGTGCTGTAATATTATGTACAAATAGCAACAGTTATTTGCTTTAGAATATATAAAGTATATTTGCCCAATAATGTTATATTTTTGGTTTTATTTTTTTTTACTTTTTATTTGTTTATCAACTTTTAACGTATAGAAAAAAAATTATTTATACGAGAATTTTTGTTCATATTTTGATGTTTATAAATGCTATACCCTTTTTTCAATGGATATCATAAAAAAAAAGAAAAGAAAATATTAAAGAAGAAACTACCAAAAATTAACATATTTGGCCAAAAGATCTTTGTAATATTCTTGATTACTTTTAACGGTGAATCAATGCTTGTTAAATTTGGCAATTTTACTGTATTGTTGTAAAGCATGTAACCAGCCGAATAATACGCTAAAAAAGTTATTAGTATGGATGTTACATGTAACCCAGATGACAATAATAAAGTTGTGACACGAAATATAGGATAAAACACAGCGCATTATGTAATAAAGGTCGTTATATTTGCAAAAAAGCAAATGCTGTTACTAAAATGGTAAACCTTTTATTATACGGTATATATTTTTGAGGAAAAATAGCTTACAGTATTATAAACGGTATAAATTATAACGGATACTGCATATTTGGAATTAAAAGTTTATTTAATTCAATGCATGTTTAAAACCATCATAATGAATGTATCGGTGGTTGATGTGCTAGGTTAGAAACATATTCTTTGCCAAGGTATTACTGTATACGTATGCGGAATAAATAAATAAATAACTTGCATAACTTTAGAAATGACACAAATTTAATTCTCTAACACTTTCGCATTCTTTATCGCACAGATAACAGAATTAATAAATAAATAAGGATACAACAGTCAATATTTATCAATTCAAACAATCACTTTCGGCAGTCTGGTAACAAGTTCTTGTCAATTGACGACAGTTCTTTTTATAAAATAAAATAAAATCATTAAAAAGCATATAATCACATATATAACTACAGAACAACTTTCTGCAATTAGTAAGTATATTAACCATGAAATTTAATTTACGCTCTTTGTCTATATTTCTTTTTCTCTGGCACTTAATGGTTCCAATTTATTCGGCATTTATCGCACCTGCAACTTATTCTCATTCAACAGCATTTATAGATAACAAAATTTTTTTTTTTGGTGGAGTTTATACACCTAAAAGTGTGTATTACTTAGATGTGGGTAAAAGCTTTGATACTGAATCGCCACCATGGACTGACCTAACGAACATTTCACCTATTCCATATGGAAGTGCCTGGGCAACAGCTTTTACTGGTATTGACCCGTACCCTTTGGTTTACCTCTTTGGCGGAACAACTTTTGATCCAATCACAAATCGTGATATTTTTTCACAAATGACGTATGAATTTGATCCTAAATCCAGAACTTGGAATCAAGCCTTTCTTGAAGGAATCGAACCATCGAGAAGGAAACAAATGCATTCTACTCAAGATGATTATGGATATATTTATATTTTTGGAGGAATGACGGATGCTTCTACTGGGTCAAATGTAACCAAATATTTTAACGATATGGTTGTTATGCATACTATTTCTCTATATTACACTACGAATTCCATTGCAAATGCACCACTTCAGCGTTTTGATTATAGTGTAGTAATTTCACCTGATGGTCTTATAATATATATTGGAGGAAAGGAGTATACTGGTTTAACGGTACAAACTGTTGTTTTAAATAATGTACGTAAATTTAATTTTTGATAATTTATTTCAAATATAATTACCGTAAATAATATAAATAATGTCATTTTTCATTTAGATTTCCACGTATAACACCCATAACGACACATGGAGCGCAGTGGTGGGTACAGTATCGGTTACAGCAAACGTACACAGTATAGTATTAAATTATGTACATTATATCTATATAGGCGGCTTCTAGCGAATCAACTTTTGAAAATCGCTTTGGACATTCTTCTGTCATAAGTAAGCGTTGCTATTTATTAAAGGCATCTTATTATAACACATGCGGCGTACTAAATATTTTCACCCTTAATGTTAGCATTAGATGGCTTGGTTTTTTGTTATGGCGGGGCAAAATTAAATGACACGGCCGTTGATAATCAACTCATTATATTGAACGTAACAGCTTCTCCTTACAGGTGGTTTGAACCGACAGTTAGCGGGAAATCGCCACCTAGCCTATTTTATCATTCTGTTAATTTAATAGGGGATTTTATGATAATAGCGTTTGGTAAGCATAGCCTCATTCAATTTTTGCTATATTATTTAAAATTACTAAATTTTGATTAAACAGGAAATATTACAAATCCCACTGGTCGCTCATTGAGTACTAGTTCAGACTTATATATACTTAACGTAAAAACGTATACCTGGACAACATCTTATATTTTTTCCAACATCTCTACCAGTTCTTCTACGGTATCTACGCCTACCGATCAATCATCTGTTACGTCTATTAATCAGTCGACCACTACATCCGATAATAAGCAGCCAGTAATGCCATTGCTAGTATTAATTGGATTAATAATTGGTCCAACTGTAGGCGTGTTTTTTATTTTTGCATTGGCGATATTTTTTCATTCAAGAGTATCAAGATGACGCAATATATATATTTTCTAAATAATGTTAATTAATAAAAATTACATTTTTATAAATTAATATTAGAAACAAAAATAATTCATTGTTTGTTTGAAAATTTATTTTATTTTCAGGTAATACTAAAAATATTAAAATACAGTTTGAATCCAATAAATTATTAAAAAATATATATTAATATGCATTTTTACTTGATAAAACATCATAATTTGGCCCATATTATTACTAAATTATATATCACAATTTTTTTTACTTGGAATTTACTTGGTATAATTTACTAATAAAAGAATTTGATTAACTATAAGCTTTGATTAGTTTGTCATTTTCTTTTATTTAAATTTATTTGGTTTTGATAAAATTTTTCAAAAGAAAAATATATTTTAAAATTCAAAAAAAAAATTTTTAATATTTATTTTTTTCTTTATTTAAAAAATATACAGCCAAAAAAATCTATATTTTTCAACTTATATATATATGTTAAATGCTAGTCTAGTAAAAGAATTATCTAAGCGATATTTAACAAAAAAACTTTAAAGATCTATAAATATATAGTATAGTAATAAGGCTCCATTTATTATTAAAAGAAAGTTTAGGATTAAAACCTATTCAGTTATAATAATTCATCACCTTCATGATTAATTAACCAGCTTTCAATTTATATTATATCCAATCAGCTAAAAATCAACTTTTAAATTTAATTATGTTGCATAAAAATAGAATCTCTAGTATTTCTAACAATAATAAATTAAAAATAGGTTGAAGCAAGCAAGTTTTCTAGTCTAACATCTATAAAAAAACCCCTTACATTTTCTTCTGACAATGTAAATTTCATGACACAAATAAAAAAAGTTAACTCTTAAACTGATATATTCCAATTTGATACCTTGAGACATAATCCAATAGTAATATTATATAAAACTTGAAAATATAAACCTATATAAAGTACAATTATTAACCACAAGTAATAAAATACTAGATAAAAATTATTAAATCCAAGTTTAATAAGAATCAAAACAAAAGCAAATCAAAATCCAAGTAAAAATATTGAAATTATAGATAATAAAAACAATAATACTGTACTATATTAATAGTATATTTTAAAAACCAATAATAACAAATAATCAAAAGTAATTATTATAATAATGTTTATATAATTTTCTTTTATAATAAATATAATTACAATTTGGATCCAGTAAGTTAATGGTTTAAACTAGTAATAAGACTTCCATTCCTTAATAAATATATAGCTAAATTATAAACGAATAAATAAGCTGATATAGAGATTTTTTTAATTCAATTAGCTGGGTCTTGCCTAATATACTTTATTGTTTTATTCATATTGTTAACATGTAAAAAATAATAATAAAATAATAATAAAAGTTTATATTATAAAAAAGTATATAAATAACAAAAGTATAAATGAAAATAAAAACAATACTAACAGGTACTGCATAACTTTTATTTTTTACTATATTTTATTGTTAGACATTTGTCTTATTATACTATTTTAATATACAAATAATACTCATATTATTGTAAACACTTTTTATTATACAATAAAAAAATTAAATTTATTATAAGAAATCAAATTCATATATTATAAATTATATTACATATATCTAAATTTCAAATAATTATAATGATTCACTCAAAATCTATGATAAAAATTTTTAAAGATACAAATTATTATCAAATTGAAAATCAAGAAACTATAACTATATAATTGATTGATTAATTATTTATTTGATTAATTAATTATTTTTATTTTTTATTAATAAAAATATAAATGAAAATGTGTTAATTTGTATTATAATAATTTTTTTTAATTTTTTTGAATAAAAAAAATTATATTTTTACCTTTTTTAGTTAAAAAAACAATAATCAAATTTAATGGATAGTAAAAAAGATTTGATAACTGCACAGAAAGAAGCTATTATCTATTGTTACACTTGATTTTTGCTCAAGATCATTACTACTCCTTGCCCGATTTTTACTAGCATTTACCCTTGAAATGTTATCCATTCTAGAATAATTCTTATATTACTATCCTTGTTATTGTTTAGTACTGTACTTTTCATGCTATTGTTGCTCTAGAATATTTCCTATTTTATTTAT